AGAGGAATGGGGGATAAAGTGTTGGAGCATTAGCTGAGCTGTTTGCAGTACAGTGGGCAGTGTAAAGGGTTGTGTTTCAGAATAATTCAAATGTATAGATTGATTACATTTTTTGCCCCAGTGGTGAACATGGAAACCCNNCCCCCCCCCAATTTAAAATCTGTAAAATCTGCTTACTTCAGTGTGTGGAACTTATTAGGGTCATTTTTATGTAACATGAAGCGAGGGATTGCTGTGGCACTAAACACTGTAGGAACTGTATTTAAAGGAAAAGCCTCATAATTCTGACTGATGCATGCTTACTTTGCACCCGGCACCTTTCGCCGTAGAGATTTGACAAACACAGCTCTGGCAGAACTACATATACCAGCAGGAGCAGTGTGTAAAGACCCCCCCCCCCCCCCCCTCATTCAAAAAGGGGTTTCAGGTTAACTTTTTGAAATGAAAAATATCGGCACCTGGAGGAGACGTATCGTTTTAGGACTTTTCAGGTAAAAGGCAAAAACATGTCCATACAAAGGTGGAGTTAGCCCCCTGAATCAGCCACTGTAGCTGACTTCATGGGTAACTGGCCAGCCAAAACATCTGCCTCTGCCTCTGCACACGCCAGTTAGTTTACACGTGAGTAAACACGAGTGTCAGCTGTCACATCTGTGCAACAGAGGGGGCGAGAGGGTTGACACATACTGGAACTTCCTCTTTAATGTGGATCAATGGTTAGATCATGGCCAATTCCCAATCAGATCAATAGGATAAGTGCGAGTAAGAATGGCAGCAGTTTGACTTTATTTAGATTTATTTCAATGCAGTTATATTAAAACATATTAAAACATAATTTGAAGGGGTTTCTCAAAATCAATAAAATAACAGTAGTTATCTTCTAAATATGTCGGGTATTTAACATATTTAATGTTAAGTGCTGACACGTCACAATGTGCTTATAATACTGTTCTTAAGAAGCTTTAAGCTGCTTGCACAGGAGTTTGCACTTCTGTAAAGGAAGGAAGTGAGGGAATCACACACTTAAAGCCACATTACTATTAAACAGTAATGTGGCTTTTAAAGCATATTGCTGTCTAACCGATCCTGAAAGGACTCTTAACTTTGACTTTCAACATTGAACATGTATTTGAAGGCACAGTCCTTTTTGGGGGGAGCCACATACATAATAATAATACAAATAGTAATAATAATGGATTCCATGTATACATTGCTTTATCATTGGTTGACTCTTTGATACTGACAGGGAGGGGGGACGATTAGATGGCCAGATGGAGAGCCAGGTTGGGGAACCCCTTACCCTTTGTGATAATAAGTGTCATAGACTCTTTAATGTTGCAGTGGGTGACATTTAGGAGGATCTAGTGGCAGAAATGGAATAGATTATTTGTTTTCCTTGTGTTTTTGTTACCTCACAATGAGCTGTTTTTATCTGCAGGCGGGGCGGGTCAACTGTCAGTCAGTGTAGGAGTGACAGCATGTTATTTCAGTGGTGGGTTGACCCTGCTGTTCGACAGCGTTCAGCACACTGCAGCCACGAGTCTGCAGTTGTTTCATGTCATCTCACACTCGTCGTTGTTGTTGTTGTTGTTGTGTTCCCTCAGATTTTCTCTCTTGCTGCTGGATTTGGAGGAATATTATTTTGAGCAGCACACTGCGTACCACGTGACAACCAGTTCAAGAAAGGAGAGGTAAAGTAGATAGTTCACCTACACCTAGTGACATCAATCACTGTAACATCAGAGACTGCTTTCACACTGTGGATGTGGTTTCGCCTTCAGTTTCTTTTTTATTTCAACCTTCATTCATCTTCATATGCAGTAATCCTGATCACCATGTTGTGACCTCAACCAAAGCCCAGTGGAGCGTAAAAAAACCCCTAAATGATTTGTAAACTCTGAGATATGCCCGCAGCACTTTATTGTCAGGTGTACCTGATATTTGGTCAAAAGCTTTAAAGCTTGTGTTCTCACCTGTAAGAAGCAGCTGTTCAAACATCATCTTATCCTGTTGATGAGGCGTGAGCAAACGAAAAAGGGTCACACGCCTCCGAGAAGATTATTCAGACGATTTAGTTTTACCTTCATATGAAAGAGGGAGGAACATGCATCCAGTAAGGGGAAGGGAAAGATTTATGTTAACTAGTTCGAGTTGTGTTTCAGACTAACACGAAATGAACTTTACAGTTACGATCAGTTTTCCTCTTCAGCTCATCAGCTCGTATCATTAGTCTAACTCTGCCCGCCTGTTCCAGTCAGCACACTGTATGTTACACTGTTTGCTACAATGTCAGATTAGTTTAGAAAAGTGTAGGATTGCTTTACAGCACAAAACAATGAATTCTTCCACATTTATTGGTAAATTCTGGTTCTGTAAACTGTTTGAATTCATTCTGACTTATAGAAAGAAAGAAGAGAGAAGAAAAGTGCTAGCATATAATTAGCATTTCTTTACCAGTTTTTTTGTTTCCTTGTTGCACAAAATATTCCTGTATCAGGTTATATTTGTATTATTAATAGTATCAGTGTGGTTACATTGAATTAAAGGGACTCGTTATAGTAGTTGACAGTGCTAACAAGCTAACGTTAGCTGTTTTTTCCTTCCAGAAAAATCCGAGGCTCGTTCAAGGTCTGTTCCAGATCTGTCATATTCGATCCAGATGATCTCACAGAGCCAATTATAAAGGTTTGTTTTTTGTGTATTTTAATTTTGCTTTCAGATTTTTTTTTTTTAACCAAACCGGAAATGAGGTATAAAAATAAATGACGTTGGCAGACATGGGAAATGTTGGTATGAAAACCATGGATGTTGTATTGTACGTTGTTGGTCTGTTTTACACTGGATCTTTGTTAATCACATCATCATGTGTTGCTGTTCCTGCAGATTCCTCTTCGAGACTGTAAGAAGATTGAGTCAGTGGAGAAAGAGAACAACCCTTTCAATGAGTGAGCATGCCTTCATCCCCAGCATTGCATGTTCAGTTCACACACTCGTGTTTATTTAGGCTGTCAAACTGGTTCAATGACTTCAGAGTGACATACAAATGTTGACTACACTCATAAAGCAACATCCACAGATTATTGAGCGTACTGTATCTGAGCTGATCTTTACTTTTT